TTCACCCGGGTGACTCTTATAGAAAGGTTCAATTTGTCGACCCTTTATTTTGACAATCTTTCTGGGATCAAATATCCGGATTTCTATTACTTCATATTGTGAGAGTGAGGGTCCATGATTTTCACTTAGCATGGTCAATCGAAGGGGTTTTGATCTGGGTGGTATAAGAGGGAGTATGAAATGTTTGCGTAACTCCACTGTTATTCCCTGCATATTCGTGAACGAAGAGAAATCTAAATGATACTCACAATTGCTGAAGATTTCGTAGATGTCTTTTTCGTTCTCCACCCTTTGTGTTTCCCTTAGAGCCTCAGGAAATGGTGGCATGATTTCAAGAATGGCCGGTGGTGGAGTTGAGTTTTGAGGTTCCTCCTCCTCCTCCGGTTGAGCTTTCTCCGTAAGCTCCTCTTCTTCTCCTCCTCGCCAAAGTGGTTCACAATGCTTGACATTTGTTTCAATTGATTCTCCAAATTCTGTTCGTTGGACACTGTTTCTTGCGGGAATTGTGACATATCTCTTTGCATACTCGTCACGTCGATAGTGAGAGCTCGGATCATGTCTTCAGTGGACATACTAGAATAAGAATTTGAGTACATGTGATCTCTCCTTCCTGGATTATATGTGTTGGAGAACAGATCATATCTCCTTTGAGATATTTTCCCTTGGAAACCAACATCATCAATTTGTTGAAAGTATTGTTCTTGGAGCTTCGGGCAAAAATCTGTAAGATGCCTGTGAGACATGCAAATGTTGCATGTCTGGACATCTTGAGATTTTGGACATAAAATAAACTCCTCTATTAGAGAAGTCAAGACAGAAATTTGACTCTCTAGGGATGATATGTTGGTATCCATACACTCATGTAAGCTCAGAAAATAGAAAAGTAAGAACTCTTTATACTTTTATTTATTATATACGTAGTATTTTTTTCTTGAAATAAAAATAAAAAGAAAAATTATTGCCTTTCCCCGGCAATGACGCCAAATTTGACGTGCACTTTGTTGTGGTGTGCACTCAAAATAATAATCAATACAACAATTATACGTAGTATATTTTAAGTAAGGTTCATACCCACAGGGAAAGGAATACTTATCTTTTTATGTAACTAGTAACAAGGGGGATTTAAAGTTTGATTTGATTTAATTAATTAAATACGAAGATGAACGACTTATATGAGTTTAATTAAAAGATATGAGGACTTGGTTTTGCTTTTATCCACTTAATGAGATGTTCGTTGATCCCGGTTATATCTTTAACTATCTTCCTCTCGAATACTCAATCGAGGAGTATATCCAATTCATCGAGGGTAGTTATTAATAACGAGACGCGTTCATTAATAAAACTTACTACCGAGTCAATATAGAACATGCGCCGTATATTAACCCGATAGTAGCAATAAACTTAAGATGAAAACGATTGAAATTGATAACCTCAACACAAGTGGTTTATTGGTTTAATCAATATAATTAATTCCCCTTAGATTATTAACCATGAGACGCATGCATTAATAATCCAAGTTTACTACCATGAAATGACCGAACGATTAACAAGCGTATTCGTCGATCGATTCTAGTATTAATTAATATATGAAACAAAACTAGTTGATCCTTTAAGTAATGCTCAAAATATTAATATGAAATATGAATATGAATTAATTAATATTCAAGGAAGAATATTAAAAAAGATAAATACTACTATAACTAATGTCGAGAAGTTAACTAATTGTCATCTTAGCAACACATCAGCCAACATTAATATAGAGATAGTATTAAGGGAAAAATTAATATTCAAGGAAAAAGATTAAAGAAAATAACTCACAACTTACAATTCATTAAGCTTCAAAGTAGCAAAACCAAGATGGAAGAGTTTAGCTCCTCATTTGGAGACTAAACATGATAGAAAATATAAAGAAAACACTAATCTAAACTGAGCTAAAGAGTATATGTGAATTGGTGATTTTATTGGGAAGGAAAAGGGTGTATTTATAGGCTTTTGGGAGCTGCATGGTCTGATACCCGACCGGGTATATAAGATACCGACCGGGTATCCTAGGAAATTGTCCAGAAAGTCACTTTTCTGGGCATACCCGATCGGGTATGTCGGCATACCCGATCGGGTATGTGACAAATCTTCACGAAAATTCGCCCCCACGATCATTTGTTGTCGGATTTGGTTTGGACAATCGAATCAATCAAATACCCGATCAGGTATAGGCAATACCCGACCGGGTACATGAATATTTTTTCCAAATCGAAATCTTTTTTGCCTCCTTGCACTTTCCCTTGATCTTTTAAGATCCAATCTTGATCTCTTGAATGATCTTTGACCTGTTTAGCTCAGAATAATCCTAATATAAACAAATTACAAATAAAAAATGAAAATAAAGTATTGCACCAAAAGTGTGTAATTTCCACAACTAGAACTAATAAAAACTAGTTAAAAATACAAACATACAATCAGAAATTACACGAATATCAGGTTGATTTTAAATATGAAAAACCACCAAATTTTTGCTTTATCTGTGGAATTATCGAACATTCTAATAAATTTGTCCGTTGACATATGAGGACAATCTGGTACTGGGAATCTCTATTAGGTTAGTCTGAGAGCTGGTAGTGGGGTGAAAACCAGTCCAACAGGAGGAAATAAGTGGCTTGAGGAAGGATCCTGCAATGCAGAGCCCTGAGTCACTCACAGAAGGAGAATTCCAATATACTCCAAGGAGTAATAAACAATACATGTTTACTTAAGACATAATAGTACATGCATTTCCGAACCCTCAACGACATGGTTAAAATAAGAGAATCTAAAATTTATAAATTACAAACATTGAATATACACTCCAGCATTATAAACCAATTAAAAAATCTAAAGTTTACAAAGTATAATTATTTTCTACGCACACACAAATTAAAGAACACATAGATGATGTTTTGACCACGCACAGACAATATAAACAAACACACCAACAATGTTTTAACCACACAAAGACAATATAAAGGAATACGTAGACAATTATTTTCTACACACGGACAAAATAAACGAACACAAGAATAATGTTTTAACTACATACAAACAATATAAATGAACACAAGAACAATTATTTTCTGCACACAGACAAAATATTTTGAGTAATAAGAACACAATTGTTTTACAGAAGAAGGAAAATAAGTTTATGGGCAATAGTTCCATCCTTCTACTCTCCCATAGTCTCCATTTTTATCTCAATAATTTATAGGAGTAAATGCACATCACAATTTAAAAAAGAAATACATGCAATAAATTCATCTCATAAATTCATTAATAAAAAAGTTGATAGGACATAAGCATCTCAAAAAAGTTGATAGGACATAAATTCATCTCAAAAAACTTCAAGCATTTTAATAAACATGTAATGGACATCTAAAGGGAGAGCACAATAGGACTAAAATTTGAATGGTTTATATCATAAACCTATATAAATGAAACAAAATAGTCAAGAATTGAACATCATAGCTTATACAATTTACTAGAAAATTATTATAACCCTAAGTAAACATAAAAAAAGTAGATTATTACCCTAACAATCATTGTTTTGAGATAAAAATGATCCTCACCGTTGAAAGAAAGCCGGATCACTCGCTGCACCTGGGAATTAAAAATTGGAGATCAAATGAAAAGCTTTAGAAGATGAAATGAAAATGAAAGAGAAAAAAAAGTAAGAAGAGAGGGGTGTGCATGAGATGAAAGACAGTGGAATTAGGGTGAGAGGGGGAGGAAGTGGCAGCAGGTATTTTTACAGGTAGAGGAAGGGAGGAAAAATAATAATTTGAGGTATATATAGTGTGTATTGGTGGGTATGAAATGTGTGTATAAAGAGCAAAATTGATTTTTGTTAGTGAGATTTAAAGTAGAAATATTTGTGTATTTTTATCACGAAAAAATCTCTAAAATTTAGTAGGGGTTGGCATAAAATCCGAACCGGACCGGTACCGAACCAGCCCGTAATGGTACCGAAACGAATATCGGGTATTTAAACGATTCTATAAATTTTTATCCCGAACCGAAACTGTACTGTTTGAAACGGGTACGGGACTGGTCCTAGATTTTGTGAACTGAAAAATACCGGACCAGACCGTTAAAATTAATGCATTTGAATTTTTTATATTTTTTCCATACCAATAAATCTATTTTATAGACTAACAATTTTATTGCCCAAGTATGTATTCATGTGTCTTAAAATAGTTAAATGTGTGTGTTTATATGTATATTATTGTTAATTTTACTTTTTAGATAATTTGTGTTATATTTTGGTATGTATTGAAAGAATGTTAAAGTTTTAAAAATCATCAATGACTATTCATTTCTAGCAATATAGTGTATATAACTTTTTTTTGTATCATGTTTGTGCAATGTTACAACTTAATTAATTGTTTTGAATCATAGTTCTCACTGTTCAACTATAAATTAAACTACAATTAATATTTAACCTATAACAAAGAAGAACGTCGAATTTTTCTATTATATTCAAAAATTTGGTGATATTATTTTTATATTTTCACATGAACTTATTAAATTAAAGATGATATTTATCTCGTGCACCATCATTTTGTTATACTTTTTCTTAGTTATGTTGCACTATTTGTATATTTGTAAATTTTAGTACTACATGTACAATTTCTTGTATTTAAATCAACATTTCATGTTAGTTGGTCGGTGTGATGATATTTATTAATTACAAGATTTGTCCATTTTTTTAGCATTCATTTGGTATTGCACCGTACCATTTTGTTCCGTTACGAAACGACATGGTACCGAATGGTTTAATCCTTAGAACGGGACAGTATCGGACCATTAGGAATCTCATAAATGCATTATGGATTTTTTAGCATTCATTTGGCATTGCACCGTACCATTTTGTTCCGTTACGAAACGACATGGTACCGAATGGTTTAATCCTTAGAACGGGACCGTGCCCACTCCTAAAATTTAGAACGCGCTGGCCCGGCCCGAAATGGATGGCCTGTTCGAAGTTCTCTTTTTCGAGGAACAACCGGCAAAGTAAAATGAAACGAAAAAGAGGCGCTGTCGTTCTGTGTCTTTTGCATCTCACTCGCTTCTTTCTTTTCGTCCTCTTCATCAGCTTCCTCACACTAAACTCGATCTCTCTTAAATTGACCTTTCCGAAACTCTCAGATCAGGTTTGTTTCTTTCCATATAATATTACTCTATCGTTCTCTGTATTGAAAGTCAGTGAATTCTTCGATTTTTCCGATTAGGGTTTCCCTTACAGATGCATGCACTTATGTCTTTTCTACTTATGCAAAATGGATTATTTTACCTCTCAAAACTAACAGTGTTTGTTTGCTGTCCATAGTCGACTATTTGAGTTCGATGATTAGTGAAGCCTAAGTCTTTGTTGATATAACTGCTCTTAGATCGATTCAACTATGGGCTTTAGTGGTGCTTGATCTGATAATTAGGATTCGATTTGATTTTAGCTTATGGTTTTCTTTGTTTGTTTTGTTTTCCCGTTTCTTTCTTTCTGAAAGTTCTTATTAGAAGGCACTTGACTGGTAAACTTATTTGCTAGCTGGAAGCTAGATATGTTAAGGAATAGTTCTAACTCATGGCTATTAATTTTTTAATAGTTTGTTTAGGTTGCGTTAGGCTTTAAAGTAAAATATCTTGAGAAATGTGAATGCTTGAGTGTTGAGTTGAACCATGGCTACATGAACAAGCCTCGGCTTGTGTAATCAGAGAAGCCTTGTGAATCCAACTACAGTGGTGAATTTTAATCTCCCATTATAATTGTACAGTGTTATCCTTGCATTTGGTATCCGGAATTTAGATACGATGAGTTCTTTGCTAAGCTAGTTATGTTTTCTCTTTAGAGGTGCATGATATTTCACGTTTGCTCCTGTAAAGGTTTGTTTAATGTGTCACTCTGTCTTAGAATGGTATACTAATGGTTTTTGTTTTATTTGAATCATTACCTCTTTGGGTTATTTTCAGTTTTATAATTGTAATACTTGTTGACGTGTGGCTGATTTCCATGGATTAGTATCTGGACAGGCATTTTCTAATGATGCCCATTTGTATTTAAGCTGTGGTTCATGATGATTACATTGTGTTTGTTGTTGTGATGTGACAGGCTGGCTATATTGGACTTTTGGACTTCACTAATAAATGCAAAACTCTTGCTGTAACATAGACACAATGATGCAATGGTCGAAAATAAACACTGCTGCATGATCTGCAATGCACTTGCCTCCTAATTTTTGTTTGTCATCTTACATGGTTAGTTATTTCATTAAAGAGATATTACTCGAAATAGGACTAAAAAGGTTTGAAAATTCCAAAATAGGACACTCATGTTTTTATTCCCAAAATAGGAGCAATTACTGTCATGATGTTTTGGCAGTACCAGACTTCAAACATGGCAGTATTTTCCAAACTTGACAGTAGTTGCTCTTATTTTGGGAATAAAAAACGTGTCAGTCCTATTTTGGAATTATCAAACTGTTTTAGTCCTATTTCGGGAACTTTCCCTTCATTAAATCATGTGATATAATAAGTTGTAAAATGAAATACTTAAATATTGTGTAGAGATGATGATGGACTGTCACTAGAGTGGGTTATGAATGTATAGAATAATGGTAGGATCTCTAATTCGCTTATGTGTTCAAAGAAAATTAAACATATGAACCTGAAGAGGATGATGCTTTATCATGTTACTGTTACGGGTGTGGTTGGGAGATAAAAAAGAAGAACGATAAGTGTGATAGTTGAAAAAACAACACAGCTTCCTGCCCTAGGAAAGGAAGTGTCTGTCGGTTCCACTGAGCGCACAAGAAGAATTGTTCTCCAGAAGATTGATGATTTTATTCATTAATATGGCACCTCTATGTATACTAGTCCCAAGAGTCTTGGTGGTCTAGTGTTAGAGTAATCCTAATTCTATTACAATACTTCTATTAGGAAATTAACTAAAATAGAATATCTCTACTAATAGGAAACTGCAACTAATAATAACCTTAGGAAATTAACACCTAGTACTTTAGGAAACATACTTTAGGAAACTAATAATAATAATAATAATGAATAATAATAACAATAGTGATAGTAATAATGGGCTTCTTCTTTCCATATCAGTTACATGACGTGCAATTTTGCATGTTGTGTTTATCATATCAATCTTATATTGGGATGAGATAATCACAATTTTGTGTCGTGTTGTTGCATAAATTTTCGTGCAATAAGCAAGTAAAAAACCAATGATGATGACGACGATGACGGCTTTGGAAAGTTCTTATTTTTCCTTCGTAGAAGGTTGTGACAAGAAGGGAATCTGTCGTAAACATTTCTGTTTTTTTGCATGAATTTATAGTGATAACTAACTGTAGTTAATTAAGACATTATTACTTTCAAGCCATAACTCCACCAAGATACTACTCCTTTAATGACATAAACTTTGATTTTCCAATGCAGTCCTTGATATTAAGATAAAACTACCTTTATGGAGATTTACCTGAATGATGGTTTGTAAATATATTAACTTGCATTTGTAAACGGCTCTCCACGACTACCATACACATCATATATCAAATTACGAATCATTTTTATTAGCTATACAAAAAATATGACAACAATCAGTTTCTAGCATCTTCTATAAATTACTATACAATGTTGCATCATGGATGCCATGTCTCAGTTGATGATGTTTTTTTTTTTTTTTTGCTGATTTTACAGATCTAATTAGATAAATAAGCCACAACAGTTGATTCACTGACAAAGCTCTCCTTTCGTGCTTGATGTAATCATGTCTGTCTTACTAAAAAATGAGTCTATCCAAATTAGAGAAGTATGGAGTGATAATCTTGAAAAAGAGTTTGCTCTCATCCGTGAAGTTGTTGATGATTATCCCTTTATTGCCATGGACACTGAATTTCCCGGGGTGGTTCTTCGGCCTGTTGGCAACTTCAAGAATCTTAGCGAGTATAACTATCAGACGTTGAAGGATAATGTTGATATGTTGAAGTTGATTCAATTAGGTCTCACATTTTCAGATGATAATGGTAACTTGCCTACATGTGGAACAGACCAGTATTGCATTTGGCAGTTTAACTTTCGCGAGTTCGACGTGAGTAAGGATATCTTTGCAAATGACTCTATTGACCTGTTGAGCCAATCTGGCATTGATTTGAAGAAGAACAATGAAATGGGGATTGATGCAAGTCGGTTTGGTGAACTGCTAATGTCATCTGGTATTGTCTTGAATGACAATGTGCAGTGGGTGACATTCCATAGTGGTTATGACTTTGGTTACCTGCTAAAACTATTAACCTGCAAGAATTTGCCCGATACACAAGCTGGTTTTTTTGACTTACTGAATGTGTACTTTCCAATGGTTTATGACATTAAGCACTTGATGAAGTTCTGCAATAGCCTCCACGGCGGGCTGAACAAACTTGCAGAGCTCTTGGAAGTTGAGAGAATTGGTATCTGCCATCAAGCCGGTTCAGATAGCCTGCTCACCTCTTCCGCATTCAAAAAGTTAAAAGAAAACTTCTTTAGTGGCTCGACAGAGAAGTATGCTGGTGTTCTGTATGGTCTCGGTGTCGAAAATGGTTCTGACAATAAATAGATTCAAGGTATTGTAGTGTACTTGTGAAGAAAATAAAAAAGGTAGAAGAGTTCTTGTATGTTGAGTTGTTTAAAACATGTATCATGTGTCTGTATCACCAAAATTAGTTGTGATCAAAATTTATGTAATGACATTTTGGATTTCACTAAAGAGCAAGCTTCTAATTTCATTTCTAAATTTTCGATTCAGCAATTTTTTCCCCTATCCTATCAAGCAACTGATATGGTTTTGTATTTAAAATGATAAACATGTTTGGCTTCGAATGCACACCGAAACTCCGAAAGGGGCAGGGGGTGTAGGGGATGGTGCCAAATGCCAAAATTCTGTTTTATTGGTGGAACATTTGGTGGTGTGGTGATGATTATCTGGAGTATGAATGGCAGGAGTGATGAGAGTGGTCAGTGGTTACAGGTTATCATTGACCCAATAAAAAGCGTTATAAAAGGATTGGTTTTTCTTAATGAATCGCCAAAATGGAAAGACAATTAATAAAGGGGAGATAAATTATAATCAGAAAAACTGGTCAAACGCAAGGAACTGACAGTTTTTCTCTCTCTAGGGCTACATGCTGCTGGAGCTTGTTTTCCCGTTTTCGTCAAGGACAAAGAACGGCGTTTTTCTCGGCGTAGGATCGCAGTTCGTGCTCTGTCCTAGGGCTGCAGTTTCTTTCTGTTAATCGGCACGTAGAAGGGTGCTCAACGGAGGGCGACTTGGCGGAGGCAGATCGAGGAGGAGAGCTTAATAGAGAAGATGGCTACAAGGGGTGATGTAACTACGAGTGCGGGACGAGGAGAGTTGCAAGGGCTTCGTGTAGGCCAGATTATGTTCGACAATGGAGGATCAATTAGCGAGGTACTGGTGGTACGGCCTCCTCCCGAGCGACCACCATGAGTTGTACGAGGTGCTAGAGTCCGTGAAAGTTTTTCTAATAGTTTTTATTATTTTGTCATTTGATTCGTGTTGCTCTTTCAGAGGTGACCGTCTCTAAGTTTGATCATAGAGTTTACAGTCGTAGTTGTTGGAGTTTAGTTGGTGTCAGATTTATTTTCTCTTTGATTGATGTAATGATCCTTAAACTTATGATTTGAATAGAGGCATGTTTTAATGATTAAAAGATGGGGGGAATAAATAAGATACCCCAAGTTAACAAGTGTGAGCTCCCCACCCCATACTTGTTGAAGTTGAGATAGCTGTACCAATGGATGGACTCGGGCCTCGGGCCGGGCCAGGTCGGGCCTTTGTCAACATATACAATTCAATTATATGTGTTGACAAATGTGCTTTACTTCCCTATTAACAAATGTGTGATCTTTGGATGACAGGTTTAAATGGCAAATTTAAAACCAGATTTAACATTTTCAGAATCAGAAACAAAGCACTTATCTGATATGAAGATACTTGGGTACTACAATTTTCCAGAACATAAATACCTTGCCTTTTAGCAAATGTGAAGATCCTTGACTGTTGCAGTAACATAGGCAATTAAAGATAAATCATCATTTCATCATTTTCATTTACCCCAGTGTCGCAAAGGCTCTCACCTACGGTGGGGTAGGGGGGGGTCAGATGTACACAGTCTTCTCCCTGTACTAAAGCACAGAAAGACTCTTTCCGGATGACCCATAGTGAAAATCACGTCCAAAATTGCATGATTGACTACTGCTTCATAACAAAGAAGCGCAAACAATTTAGTGATCCATTTTGCTTTATTCTATCATAATCTCAAGCCAAAAAATAATGAATCTTTGGCTCCATTGCAAATGATGGAAAACAATTAAACATAAATACACCAACTAAAACAAATCGTCAAATCCAACCACTACAAATCTAGCTACTACACTTTCAATCTCTATCTTTAATACATAAGTTCCTTTTGTCTTCTACAGCTCAGTTTAGTTTGCAATTCCAGCAATGCAGTCTTCATTACCTTCTTCATCTCTTTGACTTCTTTCATGTTCATCTCAAATTTTTTTCTCCTCTTGCCATTTCAGCCGCATAAAACTTGAGCATTCATTCCAAGTTTCTCCATTTGCCAATTTTTCACACAATGTCATAAATTTGTGTTCACTGCCAAACTTTAATTATTTCACTTCCTCAATAAGTTCATCATTCTTCCTCTTCAAACCATCGATAACATTTATAGCATGGGGCCAGTATTTGTCTTTGCCAAACCACTCAAAATAGAGACGATTATTGACCTATAAAATTTAACATATAGAATAGGTAAATGAAACAAATATAAACAATTAAGTCACTCCTAAATGCATATTTAAGTCGTATCTTAGCTTCCACCTAGAACACCCGTGAAATCTCCGACCATGATTATTTCCTTCCTTCGATGTAATTTCAAGATTAACAGGGAGCTTGAGATAACACTTTATATTTGATTTCGAATCTCTTAAACCTCCAATCCCAATGTCGAACTTCCCCTATGTGAAATTTGGCATCATCTTGAACATAGTTGATTGTCGTCGCTACTTCATTCATGGTTGTCGCTGGAAGGTAGGGTTTTTCAAACCTGGTGAAGTGGGAGCAAGGTGTTGGGGAAACACAACACCCCGACCTTTACCAGGATCACGAGCTAAGAAAAAAAACTCTTGTATTATATATTATCCTCCGTTTTCTTTAATCGCAACATATTGAATTTTACACTATTCACGTGTTCTATTTTGACTACATTTTACGGTATTTACTCCGTCCCATTTTATGTGTCTTAGTTTGACTTGGCACGATTCTTAATGAAGTGGTTGAAAAAGTAAAAGTTGTGGTTGAGATTTGAGTATAAAAAAGTGAAATGTGTAGACCACATATTTCTTTCCAAAAAAGGAAAGGAGACACTTATTTTGGGACAACCCAAAAAAGAAAGTAGGACATGTAAAATGGGACGGAGGGAGTAATTTTATGAAAATTATTTTTTGAAAGAAATGTTGTTCAATTCATCTCATTACAAATTTTCAAAATCTGATTTTTTTTACTAATAGAGATTAAGATATAATTACGGTCAAAGACGTGCGTTGGCAAGTGTGAAATGTTGACCATTGCAACTAAAAAAGAACAGAGAAAGTATTTGTAATTTACAAGAGAGTGTACAAATGAACGGGTATTTCACTTCACGCTTTTAGTTGGGAATACTCACTCTTGCTCACTTATGAGAAGCCTTTCTTTCACACCTCAAATGAAAGGTTACAACATCTATTTATACTACTCACAAAGGGGCAGAGATTCCCTCTCTAGAATCTTCCACGTACGTCTCTACATTCTAGATTCTTTCAAGAAGCCTCCACAAGCTTCCATTATCTTTCTGAAGAATCTAGATAACTCCACACTTATTTAGAACACTCGAAACTACTCCACAACATATTTCTAGAGATTTCTACATTTCTCTAGAGACTATAGTATTCTAGAAGACTCCACAACATTCTAAACACATCTAGATAGTTTTAGATTACTCCACACTATTCTAGAGAATTCTACTCATCTCATCATAATTCTAGAATTCTCTAGAATTTCACATAATATTTGGAAATATTGAATTACATCCTAACACAAGGATATAGGCGTAAACATGAGACAAGGGAGAGAGTGATTCCTAGGGGGTTAAACATGGGAGTCTCACTTGTTTTTTTTTTTTTTTGGAGAAAAGAGGCTTAATTAACATTAATCAAATCGTTGGCCAGAGCCGATACAATAAATGAAGGAGGAACAAAGAACCAAGAACGTGAGTCAGGCAAAGAACAAGCCGCTCTTGCCAAGGCATGGGCAGTCTTATTCGCTGACCGCTTAATATGACAAAATGTAATACTCGAAAAAGAATTCGCTAAATCTCTTATGTCATCACACAATAATCCCACCATGGATCAATTGGATCCATTCAAAATCTCAGCTACAGCTCTAGATGCATCGGTCTCTACCTCAACAAATGTCCACCTCTCCTCTTTTAGCCAACTTAGTGCCTCACAGATCCTAACCAGTTGGCCGCCAATGGTGTTAAGTTCCCAGGCCATGGATGAGTAGCCCCTGCAACAAAACTGCCGCTGTCGTCCCAGAGACACCAACCCAGCCCGCATCCTTCTGCCCGAACTGTTGCGTCTACGTTTAATTTCAACATTCCATGGGCTGGTTTGCGCCAACACAAGCTCCCCTGTTGTGCTTCCTGCTGCCATGTACTACGGGATTGTTGAGCTTACTTCCATCCATCCACCAGAGCTTGGGCCCGAAGAGTAAGTTGTCTGGCCGATGAAGACAACCCTTTCCAGACCCGATGATTTCGTTTGCACCAAATAGCCCAGCAGCCCCACACCAACACCTCCAAAGCTTCCTTCCTCTTTGACTGGAACTCCTTGTTGATTTGCTCCAGAAAAGGGAGCCCATTCCCAGCGCTCCACTGCCAAGAGAGAATTTCCCAGACCTCTTTAGCCACAGCACAAAACCTAAAGATGTGCTCCAATGATTCCGGATGAGCTCCACACATGCCACAATGTCCTGAACAGTCCACCTATCGTCCCTGCAAGTTTAATTTCGATGGAAGACACCCGCTACAAACCTGCCAAAAAATATTTTAATTTTAGGTTGAAGTTTTAAATCCCACATAGTAGTCCGCTCCAGTCCCTGAGCACCTCCCAACTCGCCAACCAAACTTCGATAACAACTACGAACGGAGAAATGCCCACTCTCTTCCCATTTCCAACACAAGAAATTTGGAATTTGGCTTCTTCTAAGCAGTATTCCGCGAATTAAATATGCATCTCGGGCTCCAAAAATGTCATTAATAATATCCATATCCCAAACCTTATGATTGTTTTCAAAAAGATTAGCCACCACAGCCCCCTTCAACCCCTCCGCCACCTCCGTTATAACTTTCAGATTCTTTCTATCCGGAAGCCAAGGCTCCTCTCAAATATTGATTGAAAGTCCATCCCCCACCCTTCAGTAATAACCCTCCCGAATAATATCCTGAGTGTGAATCAAACTCCGCCAGATAAAAGAAGGATTATTTCCTAGCTTAGTATTTAAAAAGTCCCCCTTAGGAAAATATCTGGCCTTTAGAACCATGCTCACAAGAGAATTGGAGTTCGTGAAAATTCTCCAAGCTTGTTTAGATAGCATGGCTAAATTAAAATCTCGTAGTCTCCTGAAACCCATACCTCTAGCTTTTTTCGGCAAGCATAAAGAAGCCCAATCTTTCCAATG